CAATTGAAACTTCTATAGTCCACCTACACCAGTGCTTCTCTCACTGTAACCGTCGGCAGAGCAGAACCAACGGCAGCACCAGCAGGGAAGGAGGGGAACAAAGAAATCAAGCACCAACAAGCCTTGCTGAATTACTCCACTGGCTTTGCATTATTTAAAGGGAAGTGCTGTTAGTACAGAAGCTAACTGTTTAACTATTGGAATTCTGTACCTTGGCCTGCTTTCAGGGGACTTCAGAAAAGTGTGACTAGACTTTGTATCTGCTTGTAGCACAGGGAAAGAAACATTCACATATTTGGTACAGTAGATTAAACGAGAGCCAAAAATTCAATTAAGTAAACTTTGACCTACATGATATAAAACCTCTTTTGAGCTAGCAACTGACAAAAAAGGAAAGAAACCTCCAAGGAAATCAGTGTACATCAGCAAAAAGGAATGCCTAGGGCTGTTACATGTCCACAGGCAGCACTTTGAAGGTTGAGTAAATATAAGGAACTTTTTGATAACAGCTGGAAGACAGCATTCAAATTGTGTCAGAAAGATGAGAAAGAACTATATGGGTGCCCAGTATACTGAGACAGCAGGATCAGTCAGTATTTTAAGGCAATATCATAAAAAAAATTAAGGAACAGAAAGCTGGTACTAAATGTGCGGAACCAGCAGCCATTTATTTACTAATATGGATTTTGGTCTAAAAATTAACTTAAGTGCTTAGTTATGTCAGTCCCTATGTAGGAGAGCACTCAGGCATGTGCTTACTGTTGAATATGTGCTTTAGTCCAACAGGCCATGTAGGAGCTTGAACATTTGCCTAGATCTAAGAGCATACTTGATGAACTGGGACCATCTGATCCTGTAGTTCTTCCAGAAGAAGATGGGTCAAATACTGATAATATCTGTAGAAGTGGTAGTATCTCCTTGTAATTCTTTATCTCATCGTTGTCTGTGGTAGCATCTTTTGTATACTGCAGTGCTTAAGAGGACAGCAACAATTTTAAATCTATTGTTTAAAATTAATTTAGACATCAGATACTTCTCAAAAGTAGAGTTCAGAATCCCAATTACTGAAAAAGAATAATTTTTCCTATTTTTTTCTATTTATTTGCTCTATCTGTTGTACAGCACTTTAGGTAATACCACTTTCTATTTTACATGAATTTTAAGTATACTTGATTGCTTAGGTCTTTCAAAAACCTTGTGGAAAAATTTTTAAAGAAAAAATAAAATCATTTGACTTCACAATACTAATGTTATCTTTTTATGAAGGATGAGCATTTAGTATGCCGTGTAATACATGAATATTTAAATCTGTAAATTAATGTCAAATTTCATTGCTGACCACATCACTGATGTGTTAGTGATTCCATTCCAAACTTGTTACATCTACCATACAGGTTTTTTAAAGATCTATAAGGTATTATATCCTCCTTCATAAAGTTGTTATTCTGTCAGAAAGAAAAACAACTCATAGATGTCTTTAGTCTGGCTATAGTAAAAATAATTTTGAAGTACACTGAGGTTTTCACCTGGAAGATTCCAGGAGTCAGGATTTGTATTAACTATTTATGCATAAGATAGTGCAGGAGAAACTTTGCTACTGATTACTAAATAAGGCAGACAATGCTTCATGAGTTATTCAAGGTATTTTATTAACTTTATAAATGGTTAAATTCTGACACTGAAGGGTAAAATAACTTCCACGTAATCACACAACCAGATAGTAACTAGATGAGAATAAAACTCAGAATTGACAACTTCCAACTAACAAAAATCATATTAAGTTCCTGCTCGACTTCTTGGGAAGACATCATGCACAAATAAATGAATTATGTTATTAGAAGTTCCAGTACATGGCTCTAGTTCCTCTACTTTATGTACCATCAAAGAAAAATCAAAAGTATTCCTATTGAAATGACTGTATTTACCAAAAAGTCATAAATTTTGTACAAGAAATGATACTGATAAACTGGTAGAATGCTCTATAACCCATTGCATGTCACTTTTATCTTATGTCTTGACTAAAAAATAATTAAGGAAAGAAAGCATCAGATTATATCATTGAGCTAAATTTAAAATGGCAAAATACAAGCAATGCTGTATAAGTACGTGCTCAACACAGACAAATTAGAAAGATCTATTGATTGTTAAAGTAGATGAAAGATTTTCAAAAAAAATAATCACCTCTACCAACAAGTTCATCTTTGGCTTTAATCATGACAAAGCTAAATGTTAACCATATTAAACAACAAAATTTTGACACCTTGCAAACCTTACATTTCATTTGACTATTTCCTTTATAACCCCTTCATATACCAATGAATCCCATAGAAAATGCTGCTATCAGTCATTAGATATTTATAGTCTTGCTACTCATGAAAGAAAGATTTCTTCTGTCAAGTTCCGTTGTTAACTCATGGAAGTTCCTGGCCAACACATTTCATCTTATTGATTTGAAATTTTGTCACCTAGACGTAATATTATCTACCCCACAAGAATGTCATGAGGAGGTAACATTTGCAAGATTCTTTGAAGTGCAAAACATTATCAAACCTGAAATCTTCTGTTGGATTGATAGAAATTTTTTTAATAAGTAACTTCTTTTCTAGGTAGAAAGTTCATGATAAGCCAGATGAAACTAACCAATGAGCTGTCCATCCTTATTTTTACTATTAACAGTAGCCAGGGAATCAACCAAACCTCTATGCCTATTAGCTGCTGTGAAATTCTATTTAGAGGAAAATTCTTGAACTGAAGCTTTTAGAGTGTGTTTGCTTATGAAAAATTGGCAGACTGAGAAAAGAAAGGTAAGCTTAACTATTCAACTGTTTGTACCTACAGTTCAGCTGGATCTATTAGGAAGAGTTACACCTCCATATCCAGGAACAGATTTTGCCCTTCCATGTTTTAAATGGGAGCAAGATGAAATGTGGAACCGCTTTGGGTATCCTGCACAGTAATGACACTCCACATTTTGTCATGACTGCTAAATTTTAAAAATATTAGGCTAAGACAACCTGATTAATAGACTTCAGAAAAATCTCCAGGGAAAAGCTTGTATTTTGTATTATAGCCCAGTGAGTGAAAATAGTCTGGGGAAAAAAAAACCCACCAAACTATGTGTCATAATATTTATAATACTTTTCAGTGATACACAGAAAACAACACACACACACACATACAGACAAATCAAAATATTACTGTAATCTACTCCTGACTTGCTGTTCTGTTTAGTCTTATGAAACAAATAATTTAGCAGGCGATGTACAGTATAGAGGCCCTCAGTGGATTGCAATATACTAAGTAAGCATGTTTTTCTTTTTGTTTAATTTATAGTCCCTGGAAAAAAAGACATTTAAAAACCTATTGTCTGGATTTACAAAGCTCATAGGGATAGTTAGTTCTTAGCTGACTGTATTGCTGGCTAAAATGTTAGACATACTTTGCCACTAGAGGTCTTTTCATTTACGGATGTACTAAGGCCTCAAGGGTTCTTCATCTGTGGACATATGTTTTTATCACAGAGAATTGCAAAATGCAGTGTTGTCTTCAAATTGACAACTGCGGGACAAGTATATGGATATTAACCTAGAATTTGCTGTATAAGCATTGGAGGCAATAATTTCCCAAAGAGAAACTGAATTTTCATCTTTTTTGATACCCTTATCCTTTATCTAGTTTGAGTAATTTCTTAAAATGTGAACTCCTGCCAAACTCTCTGAATAACAGATTTTTTATCTCAGTGATAAAACTAAAGGGGGGGGGGACAGGGACACATTAAAAAAAATGGTAGAGCTGACTGAATTGGGTTACTTCATTTTTGGGCTCTTGGTGCAATTTTCTTTCATTTTTTCCATATTTTTGGGTTCTTAACCAGTGTGGCTCATTCTGTAAATGGAAACATGTAATGCTGAAAATGTCAAAACAAAACATTTGACCTCTTCAGATTTTACTGTCTGAAACCAAATTCTACCAGATTTTTAAAAAAGGTGTAGTAAGTAAGTAACTGCTTATTTTTGTGAATTTACTGTTCCTTCATTTCTAGTTAGTCATAACAGGGCAAATGCACATCCAACTGAGTTGCATACAAACAAGCCCAGGAAATAATGGGTCTGTAATCTTTGCATAGTATAGCAGAGAAATCAACAGTTACTAAAGAAATCATAAATCACTGAAAAAAAAAAAGAGAAGGGTGTAAGAGTTCTATGAATGAAAATGTCACCCCACTGGAGCTGAGTGAAAAATGGAAAACAGTTGCCAATCAAGTTGTTTCTATAGATGCCCAGTGCAAACACAAAACACAGGAAAGACCGTGTTATGTCAGTCCCATTTCCTATCTTGTGCAAAGCTATAGAATATAAAATCTGCTTTTATGGGTTCCATCAACTATCTTCCTATTTTTGCTGCATTTCATTGGGTATTTTTTTACCTTTTTCCCACTTCCAACTAGGTTTTGAGCTTGCAGATCATACAGCCTGTGCAGTGGTAGACAGTATTTCTTTCCCCTTTGGAACACACTCTGACTTCACACAGTAGCTCAGTGTAGCCTTCTTCATTAGAAAATACTTGCCTACAACACAGGCATGATCTATGATCTTTAAACACCAGCTACCTCAGTCAGCTCAACAATCAGTTTTCATGCAAAAGCTAAAGGGCAAATTTTCTTTGCAAGGCTTCTAAATGCCAGATTTCAACTTCCTCCCTCTCCATTCTCAATGCCAAGACAGCTCAAGAAAATCTTTTAATAATACTTTTCTAAGAAGATATAATTTTGCTCAAATGCTTAAATAGCAACCACCCATAGACAGAGATCAAAGCTGGCCATTTCCAGGAATATCTTTCAAAGCTGTATCTGAGAACAGGGTCTTAGAATAGATACACACGGGCAGCTTCTACAACTGTCATTGGTGATTCAGTTAAAATAATGCAACTTAATATGATTGCTGCTGAGATCTTTGCATTTTCTTTCTAACATAAAAACTTTCCATTTGTGTTTTGAATAGGTAAGCCTACAGGGTATGGATCCAGCAGTAGACGCTTACACCACAAGGGAATAGTGGATGAATGCTGCTTCCAGAGTTGTGACCTGAGGAGGCTGGAGATGTATTGTGCTCCAATAAAGCCACCTAAATCTGCACGCTCTGTACGTGCTCAGCGCCACACTGATATGCCAAAAGCACAAAAGGTAGGCCAGGCTGGAAAAAACAAACAAACAAACTGAAAAACCCTACCTATTTTAGGGAAGGAAAATTCTATCAAGGCTGGTAACATAGCAAACAACTGATGTGTTGTGCCTGCTAGGGACACTGAGATTTACTGGGGTTTTGGAAAATAGTGTCCATGGTAGGAAATAAGTAGGAAATGGTGTGTTCTATCTCATCTCTTAGAACACTGAATAAAAGATGGAATTGCTAAGCTAGTAGTTGTGAGGCTTTATCCTGCTACTGGGTAGTAAATGACAAGTACTCACATGCTCCAATCTTAAATAGCACCTAAGACTTCTTTCAAAACAGAAACCAAACACTCAATGTTTACCAGCTGATCTCTACAGTACCTCCTCACTCACCCTTCCTTGTCAGGAGGAGGTAGAGTGAGTGATTGAGGGAAAACACAGCTCTGCTGCTGTTCATTTTACCTGTAAATGAACAAATTATTTTTTTGTTTCTTCATTATTTTGGCTTTTTTTTTTTAACTTATCAGAACTAAATTAAGTAGATAGTCACTGCAATCATTACATACTTCATTTTAGTTATTTAATGTTTAATATTTACATTTTCCAAGCACTTCACTGGTATTACTTTTATAGTTGTGGAGTTCAGAGTATCCAGATTTTTGTTCCTGTCATACTAGATATACTGTACATATATGTAGTTAAATCTCATCTCTCCTCAACAGAGCCTATAGTTCAGAAAACTCATCTTAGGTTAGGCTACTATTAAGCTCATGTCCAACTGTCTCTCCTGTTTGAGTTCTGAACATCTGTTTTACATGTTAACTGTCATCTGCTCTAAGCTTCTAGTGATGTATTTTATTGCTGTTGACCCTGTCTGTCCTACACATATGTTGGCCCCACTCCTGCAGTTATCCGAAATCTTTTTCTTATAAGAAATGGAACGGCATGAAATCCTAAGATTTCATAGGAAGTCAGGAAACGAGCACTATATTCTAATTTCCTTAATATCATCTTTATGAAAAGAACAATTGTAATCGTTCCAGCATCCATTTCTTTTCCATAAGTCCATCCATAGAATGGAATCCTTTCACCTCTTCCGCAAGTGTTTTCAACCTTTTAAGGTAATGGCTGTATGATTCTTCCTGGGAAGTATCACCTTAGCCATGAGCATCTCAAAAGGCACATGTGACAGCAAGTGAAGTCTTCTTCAGGTAGAGCTCAACTGTAGATGAGAAAACCCTGTGGTTTATTCCTGGCTGGGCACACATAAATTAAGGCTTGCGGGAAAAGAAGAAAACAGGCTTGGCCAGTAATCTGTGTGCTCCTTCCCATACTTGTTGCTAAGGTGATGGGTAAAACATTCTGTAACTTCAAGTAAAAGGAGACAGGACACCTGCCAGCTTTCTGATGGATCTCCACACCACTTTCCTTGGAGGGCTAGGGAATGATGTCATTCTTTAGGCAGCTGTCCTCTTCCCAGTTCAAAAGATAGGCAGGAAAACACTTTTCATACAAACAGGAAGGAACAGAAGAAAGGCCTTGCGTCTTTCTGCAGCAGCAGGGGAGGTAGTGTGCAAGAGGGGATACTAGAGGAAGAAAAAAATTAGAGGGAGTATGTAGTAATTGAGAGAACTTAGCTGCAGAAGAAATCATCCAGGAAATTAAAAGGAGAAAAAATATCAAGAAGTGAAAAGGGCAGTAAAAGGACGATGAAGAGCAGAAGAAAAGGGAGGGAGTTAGATCAAAGAGGCTGAGAAGATGAGAAATATTGAAGAACTGAATGAACCATGGTACATTGCACAGAAAAGACAGAATTTTGAGAAAGGGGGAGAGAAAATATAATTAGAGAAAAAATAATATTAAAGGAAACAACACCTTGAAAGAAAATGTATGTGAAAAGGGGGAGAAAGGTGAATAGAAGCAGAAGAATCATAAATTCTTCTTGATGGGAACTTGGTGACAAAATAACAGAAATCTGATGGGAAAAACAAACCAAAATTTTTGTTAATATATGTGGATAGAGAAAATTAGATTGAGGAAACAAGAATACAGAAGGGGTAGGAGAAGCTATTATTCAGCTTTATGATAGATAAAAGGAAAATGGAAGGGAAGGGAAGGGAAACAGAATTCATTAAGAAAAATTCTATGTGAAAGAAGTCTGGTACATATTATCATATAATTATTTTTTCTTTCTTTTTTCTTTTCGCAGTCAGCTGTACATGCCTCCATTAAGAAAGACAATGCTATATTCATACTTTCTTCTTTGGATAGGCTCCCCAGTATGAATGCATTTAGCTAATTCATAGTACTGATATGACACTGATTTTAATTAAAAAATTAATTACACTAAAGTCAAATGATCTTTTGGTTAGGCAATTTTTTTTCTGCTTTAGAATATTTTTCTCTCTTAATATTATATGTTATAGACTAGATACATATCTTATACATAGGTCAGATAATATATATGACCTCTTTAATATTTTCTTATTTAGATACAAGATGTAAGGCAGGATTAAGTGGAACATATAAGATGCTGTACAGTTGCTCTCAGATTTCATACACAGTCAGTTTCTTTGGTCTTTCATACTTCTAGTGTAGTTTTTATTTGGCATCTCCTCATAACCTTTTTAATAGACTAATCCAGGATTTGAGTTTTGGTTTGAGAGTTTTCTAAGTGGTCTACTTTCCCAGTTCCTTGAGCAGATATTCCTCCTGTGCACAGTTTCGTAGAATAACTTACTTCAATGGAGCTGGGCTGTTCTTCTGTTTATAGGTTATCTTTAGTCATTACATTACAAACAAGTGTTGCTACACTATGCGCACAAATGTAAATGATGAGGGACGGGCACTGAATGATTAATGTGGGCTGGGAACCCCAAAATGCCTATTTGCTGCTATAAGGCCAAGAACTAGTTTTAATCCTACTACAGAGACTGCATGTGTAGAGTTTTGTTTGTTTGTAGCTAACTAACTAAATATTTCTTTCTCTATAGGATCATTATTTGTCCTGTTCTAAGACTTTTACTCACAAATAAATGTAAAAGTATACTGAAAAGCAAAAAATAAACACATTGTTATGATATGCTTAGGGGTATAGTATACACAGCATACTTCACAGATTCATAAAAAAAGAACTTAAGAAAGGAGACAGCTATAAGCACTTTTTTATTGCCTCAGCTGCTATATACAAGGAAGCACATACCCAACCTTAACTCTGTCTTAATTTAGATGCCCAGCTTTCACCTCCTTTTCTGCACTCAGCCCATGACAAAATTACCTTAAACTGGAGCAGCCAATGAATGCAACAAACACACGTAATAGCTTGCAGAGAGAAATGAGGTATGCAGCAGAGCATAATGTGATAGCTACAGGCTAACCACCCTAAAATCTCTAGTGAACAGATGGGATAACTCAGAGTATCTTTCCAGCTGGATTTCAGCACTGTGGGCCTTGAGTAAGTTATGAACTACAGTAATACATAGTTTCTATTGGCACTCAGCAGTCAAACATCCTTCTCAGACATCTACTTAAGGGATACCAAACTCTCACCAGAGTGTTCCCCCTACTTAAAAAGAAGTACCTCCTCTAGTCCCTGAAATACTTTATGTTTTTTGAGTCAAAGCCTACAGAGGTCACCTAGCCTGTCTGGGCCAACAACTCTGTCTGGGATGAAAAAACTGTTTGTAGTTTAAGAGGCTTCTAGAGCATTCAAATTGCTTTCTCCACTGAGAAACAATAAATATATCAAAGCTGGGGTACAGGAAATATACAGTGAAGTGGCAGTTCTGTTTTTAATTGCTCAAATCTGGCATAGAAAAAAAGTCTTCTTGGTGACAACTGGACAATGGTTGCTCAATGAGAAAATGCTTTAGTTTTATACAAATATTTTTTTGATAGCCTTCACATTTTGTAACAATCATATCTGAAACAGATTTTATACAAAACCAACATAGCTGGCTAAGATTTAGTAAATCACTTACTTTATATCTTCTGTTTCTGTTCTTCTGAACTTGATCTGCAAAGGTAAATTATTCCTTTAAAATAGAGTAGGATTGATCCATGTAATGTATATTCAGTCAATATGTGCTCTAGAATATATTGCCTTGATCAATCAGATTTCTCAGCACAAGAGCAGCTGACCAGAAATATAGAAATGCCATAAAATATGTAAGAACTACAGATAATGTAATTGTTTTTCTTTAATAGGCTTCCTAAGGAAAGCTAGGTGATTAAATTTGATTTTCAGTTTAGTGTTCCAATTGATTAAATAAAAAAAAAGATATTTCAGGACAACTGTTCTGGACTATTTAGGTAAGGGAATAGAATAATTTTAGATCCTGTTGCAACACTGAGACCAAGGGTGATAAAGATTGGGTTTCATTTTTTCAGTTTATTTAATTAATTTCAATTTATATATTTTTCTATTATTAATATTTATATTATTAACATTAATT